CTGCCTTTAGACTCAAAATGCAATTCTTGCTTGATTCACCCAGGCTGCTGGCCCAACCCCATCAAATTTTGCATTCAGGAAGTCTCTACAGCCCAATGAGCCAATTTCTTAAAATAAATCTACCCCCCTTACTCCACCCCACCCAAATTTATTGGGTGTTTGTTGTGGGGTTTTGGTTGTTGTTTTTTTCTTGTGGTTTAGAAATTTTTTGTGAATGTCTCACATGTAATTAAGAAGAATATATTACCCTTTCTTATAGAATGTATGTGTATCATCTATCTCCTGTTGTTAATTCAGTTTTTGTGGAGAACCCTGACTAACACAAGGCACTGTTTTATTGGGTCAGAAGAGAACTAACTAACCCAGCTAATGGGAGAAAGAAGAATTGATGATTCAGAAGGGAAATGGAGTTACTGATGCCACAAGGTCCATGAAGGAAGAGTAGGATGCAGAGTCAACATTGCAATTAGAATATTTAACCGTTTCCTCTGAGACAGGAGCAAAGGAAGAGTGACTAGGAGAAAGTATAAAGTTTGAGGTGGTGCAAGAAATGTAAGTAATTGGAGCCATCCATGTATTTCAAAGCATGATTGCTTAACATGTTGATTCTAAGACACCTCATTAATACTACAACTAAACGCTTTCTTAGAGCAATATACTGTGGTGGGAAAGAGTCCATCCAGGATTTCAATTTTCTCTGTGATAATAGAAGCACCTATCTGCAATTAAGTGTTATCTGGAGTCCTAAGGAACACAGGAAAGTCTGTAGGAGCTGTTGCACAAACTCCTTTGGAAGTAGTGAAGGCTGAATAAAAGGAAGTCCGGTGGCGTAGGGGTAGACTTAAGAGATGCAGGTTCGACCACTGGGTTGGGAAGATCCCCTAGAGGAGGGCATGGCAACCCACTCCAGTATTCCTGCCTGGAAAATCCCAGGACAGAAGAGCCTGGTGGTTGCAGTCCGTGGGGTCGCACAGAATGGAACACGACTGTACAACTTAGCACCGCACACAGGAGCGGAGCATAGGAGGTCTGCCTTCAAGGGCCTGGCGTTTCCGTGTGAGAGGCGAGCCTTAGCTGTCCTGGAGTCCAGTCGCTTGTTACATGGGGCTGTTGAGTGCTTGAAATGTGGTTAGTTTGAACAGACATGTGCTGTACATGTAAATTACAGGGCAGATTTCAGCAACTTAGTATATAAACATGTAACAGCTTAGATTAGCAGCATTGTCCCCCCCCCAAAAAAAACCCCATATTACAAATCACATATGTAAATGTTCTAGTAGACACATTATTAAATAAACAGGTGAAATTAACTTTAATATTTTTATTTAACCCCAGTTGAAATAATAATATTTTATATATACGTGGGGTTAAATAAAAATATTTAAGTTAATTTCACCTGTTCATTTCCTCCAGTAATGTATGTACAAGAACATTTACATACGTGATTTGTAATATGGCTTTTTTGGGGGACAATGCTGATCTAAACTGTTCAATAGCAACCAAAGTGCTCAGTATCATTTAAGGAAAAAGGCCAATCATCAGACAGTACAGTGCAGATTCTAAGAAGAGGAAGTGCTGCAGAGAATCAGACGATGCTGTAAATAAACTTGGGTCCTATCTTTGGGCCAGACTTTAATGTGTACTCTGCTGATCTCATAAGCATATACCACAAGGCTTGTTGAAATGTTATAGAAGGAATTTGTTTGAGTGAGTCACCCCAATTTTATCACTTTGTAAAGAGGATGCTTTATACTGTGTGTATCTTCAAGGTTTTCAAAGTACTTGAGTATTCATTATTTCATCTTTTTAACGATCTGGGAGGAAGGTAGAACTGGTTATCTCTGTTTTGATGAGGAAATTGAGCCTCGAAGAGTCGGTGTGATGCAAAGAACATTGGAATCAAGGATGCTGCAGAACAGTGACTGAGACTGACCAAATATTCGAGGTCCTAGGAAAAACACTGGATGTGGAGTCAGAAAGTTCAGTTCTTCCCAGACTGATGGCTTTAAACAGATATTCTTACCAAAGCTTCATTTTTGTTCAAGGGTAAAACGGGAAAATCAGAGTACCTGCTTCCGAGAGTTGTTGTTCAGTTGCTAAGTCGTGTCTGACTCTTTGAGACCCTGTGGACTGCAGCACGCCAGGCTTCCCTGTCCTTCACTATCTCCCAGAGTTTGCTCAAATTCATGTCCATTGAATCAGTGATGCCATCCAGCCATCTCATCCTTTGTTATCTCCTTCTTTTTCCTGCGTACTATCTTTCCCAACATCAAGGTCTTTTCCAATCAGTCGGCTCTTCACATGAGGTGGCCAAAGGATTGGAGCTTCAGCATCTGTCCTTCCAATGAATATTCAGGGTTGATTTCCTTTAGGATTGACTGGTTTGATCTTCTTACTGTCCAAGGGACTCTAGAGAGTCTTCTCTAGCACCACAGTTCGAAAGCATCAGTTCTTCAGCACTCAGCCTTCTTTACAGTCCAACTTTCGCATCTGTACATGACTGATGGCTGTGTAGTCATGTACCATATATACATGCACCTATGTATCATAGCTGTGACTTTATGGACCTTTGACAGCAAAGTGATGCCTGTTTTTTAATACACTGTCTAGGTTTGTCATACCTTTTCTTCCAAGGAGCAGGTATCTTTTAATTTCATGGCTACCGTCACCGTCCGCAGAGATTTTTGAGCCCAAAATAATAAAATCTGTCACTGTTTCCATTGTTTCCCCATCTATTTGCCATGAAGTGATGAGACCAGATGCCATCATCTTAATTTTTTGAACTTTGAGTTTTAAGCCAGCTTTTTCACTCTCCTCTTTCACCTTCATCAAGAGGCTCTTTAGTTCCTCTTTGCCTTATGCCATTAGGGTGGTGTCATCTGCATATCTGAGGTTGTTGATATTTCTCCCAGGAATCTTGATTCCAGCTTGTGATTCATTCAGCCCAGCATTTCGCGTGATGTACTCTGCATATAAGTTAAGTAAGCAGGGTGACCATATGCAGCCTTGATGTACCCCTTTCCCAGTTTTGACAACCAGTCTGTTGTTCCATGTCCAGATTTTTTTTTCCCCATGTCCAGCTTTAATGGTTGCTTCTTGACCTGCATACAGGTTTCTCAGGAGGCAGATAATGTGGTCTGATATTCCCATCTCTTTAGGAATTTTCCACAGAGGGTTGAGGTGAGCATTAATTGAGATAATCCATGTAAAACATTTGACATAGTAATTAAATCCCAGGAAATAGAAATCTTGGTAATTTAACTATTAGTATTAAGTAGCATGAAGTTATATATTTTAGTATCATCCAAATTAAGGATAAATACATAGGTGTAGCTACGTTCTAATACTGTTCTTCAGTGTTTCAGTCCAGGAGATAATCCTTCTAAAAGCTTTCCAAAACTCTGCTCTACAGATCCCCTTATCTGATAACAAAATTTCCATTTAGAATTACTTTGCAGGAATGACAACAGGATTCAGAGAATCATAAACGAATATGCCTCCTTTTCCAAATGAGGAAATAGAAATTAAGATAAATGATCTAATACTTGGATATAAGACAAAAAAAATAAAAGTGAGTGGCATGTCCTTTCAGTGACATGGGAGTGAAGGCTGCTCCAGGATTAGCCAGAATAATGTCCTTCAACTTGCTATTTATTCTCTCCTTCTTGGCAGTACTAGGTCTCTGTTGCTGCGCAGGCTTTCTCTAGTGGGGCCGGCAGGGGCTGCTCCCTAGGTGCTGTGTGTAGGCTTCTCATTGCTGCGGCTTCTATTGTGGAGCACAGGCTCTGGGGCACTTGGGCTTCAGTATTTGCGGCACACAGGGGCCTAGTTGCCCCTCGGCATGTGGCATCTTAGTTCTTAGATCAGGGATCAAGCCTATATTCCCTGCATTGGCATGTGGATTCTTAACCACTGCACCACCAGGAAAGTCCCTTGTTACTTTTTCTAGATGTAAGGTTCCAGACTTAGTGATGATGCATGTTAACTTGTAGACTTTTTTTCCTGATAAAAAGTGCAGATTTCTGTCTAGTGGAAAACACAGCCCCAAAGTTATGCTTTAAACAGTTTTGTATCTCACCCACCAATCTCATTCTCCCATAAAGAAATACCCTAGCTCTATAAATGCTTTTTGAACTGGGCAGGGCATTTTACCAGCCCTTCCTTACTGAGTAAGTTGAATAAAATTTTTTGCACACGCCGTCTAGAATGTGCCCCTGGGCTCACTGCATGTGTTTCGCCTCTCAGGTTCATGGTCTGTGCTGATGTCCAGTGTCGGAAAACACCTGCCTTGCGTCTTTTGTCCATTTTCATAGTTATTTACAGAGGGAGCACTGACCTGGATCTGTTACTCTTTCATGTTGGAAACAGAAGTCAATTATTTTTATATCAGAGATGAGAAAACTGAAGGTGGAAAGATTTAGCAACTTCTCCAAAATCACACAGCATTTCAAACCTAGGTAGTCTGATTTCAGAACTCCTCAATTACTGTACCATATGGCTTCTCAGAAAAATGGTTTTATATATACATGTGTAAAATGTTTTTCTAGTGTTAGGAAGCACAGTAAGTTCTTAATAAAGTCTCGGTATTTTATCCTTTAAAATTCTAAAGATCAGTGTAAATGTGTTCTTAGCACAGTGCTTAGAAGCAGAAAATAGGGGATAGGACAGAAGCACCACCACAGGAGTTGGTATTCTTTATGAGTACTAAACGTTATCATTGTCCTACCACTGGCCAGTGAAAAGAGGGCATTTCCTTAAGTCCTTTATTGCTCAAGTATTATTTAGTTACAGGAAATATTAAATCCTTACTATGCTTTCTTTTGGGACTCCCCAGGTGGTTCAGTTGGTAAAGAATCCGCCTGCAACGCGGGAGACCCAGGTTCAATTCCTGTGTGGGAGATTCCTTGGAGAAGGAAATGGCAACCCACTCTAGTATTCTTGCCTGGAAAATCTCATGGACAGAGGGGCCTGGTGAGATACAGTCCATGGGGTCACAAAGAGTCAGACGTGGCTGAGCATCTGAGCAGAGGCTTTCTTTTGCCATTGAAATCAATCTTTATTCATTAGAGATATAGAGCAAAAATTAACACACTCCAAGCAATCAGGCATAGGTGATACTCCTATCAATTTCTGAATTTCAAATCAATAAATACTGTACAGTAACACACCCATCTGGCCATGAAGGAGATTGCAGTGGAATGAAGGTACAAGCTCATGAATAGGAACACAAATATCTGTAATAGCATCTAGCACTGAATCTACTAATTCTTAATGTTTAATCTACCACCTACAAGTGCTCTAACTTTTCATCTCATAAAAAAATTTATAATGGAGTGTCATTAAGTCCACACCTATCTTTGGTTTTAGCCTGTGTACTTGAAAATAGTTTGCCTCTGTCTTATGCCATTTTTCCCCCCCTGAGATACATGTAAATTTTTTCCAAATTTCAGTTGTATCTACTAGCAAAAAATGCAACAAACGCATTGCAGTTGTCCATGCACTCTGATTAGCACAGGAAGGAGAACTAGCTTATTCTGGTCTTCTTTCCATGGCGCCCCCTCTTGCCTCAGATCAGACAAGCCCACCAGCACACGCATCCATCAACTTTGACCTCTCAGAATAGGAGCTGCCAGATATTCATTGCACATTGTTCTCCATAGATGGTTAGAATTGATAAGTTCGAACCTAAACAAATTTACAAAGGGAAATGCAAAAATCAGGAAATGGTACATTAAGTAGAAAAATGTAAGACTAGGTTTATTATCTTCCCACAAGACCAAACTTCCCTTTTCTGGTATCAGCTTTATCTGTGGTGAAGTCATCATTATCTCCTATCTGTCAATAATTCTCAGATGTCCAGTTAGTAAAATGTTTAGGTAAACTGTACTTTAATGCATTAAAATAAATTTATCATTTCTATTCTATTAATATTACTCTATTAGTTCTCATGTGCTAAGTCACTTCAATCATGTCCAAATCTTTGCAAGCCTATGGAGCCTGCCAGGCTCCTCTGTCCCTGGGATTCTCCAGGCAAGAATACTGGAGTGGGTTGTCATTTCCTTCTCCAGGGGATCTTCCTGACCCAGGGATTGAACCCACGTCTCCTGTGTCTCCTGCATTGGCAGACGGTTCTTTACCATTAACACCAACTGGGAAGTCCTTAGTTCCAATACTCACAAGCTTCCAGAGTTGGTGTCTCTCTCTACTTTTTAGAACTCATATGGACTCTTCCATGATTTTTAACTGTCCTTGGACTCTTTAAGTGCAGTGTTAATCTAGATGTAGCCTTACTCACAGTAGGCTTTGTTCTCCAATTAGGATCATTTCTGTTTCATTTCCTATATATCCTTTTGGATGTAAAGAAAAGTCTTTTCAAAATTCAGGTATGCCCTGCCACTGAAGTAATACATACACCAACCACACAAATCTGTCAAAAAAAAAAAAAAAGTAATGAAAAGCAAAAGATATATAATCCAAAGAGAAAGGTAAGAGTTGTAATTTTACATATAAATAACATGATTGATCTTATTTTCCTATTATTATATTTTCACCTTGAACTCTAACTGTGTATCTCAGGTCGGGCTCTGTAGGGAGCAGACTCAGGAAGAGAGAGTGGCGGAGGCTTCTTTAGGGGATTCTTTGCAGACCACCATCTGTGGAAGGGATAATAAATTGGGATTGGACAGGAGGAGAAGTTGGATTGTGATACAGTCTCAACAAAGTGGTCAGGTGGACCCCTAGGAAACTCTGAAGCTGGTGGGCCCTTTGGAATTGTTGCAGATTGGAGCAAGAGGATGAGGTTTTTGTTGACCAGTCAATGGACGCAGGCTGCCCAGAAAAGGGGACCTGACCTTGCACGCAGTGACTCTTTTCAAGTGAAGCCATTCTGAAGAGGGTTGATCGCCAGAATTGGCTTCAGATACATGCAATTCATATAGTCACACAGGACCCCACGCTTAGTTTAACACTCTGCTGCCTCTGTCTTAAAATTCTTGATTTTTGGCCAAGGAGCCCTATGCTGTCATCTGGCACTGGGCGCTACACGTTTTGCAATCAGTTCTGCTGACAGCTGAGGGCCGCCTGCCCGCAGGACACTCTGTAACTGGGCTAAGTCCTTCAGCCCTAAAGTGGCATCTGGGTGACAGTCCAGTGTTCACTACAGCGCATACCTTGCATTGCTCGAATCCACTTATCCTTAGAAGGAAGCAGAATAAATTACAGTCCCTAACACTGAAACTGGTTTTGTGGCTACAACTGAAAATCCTCATCTTTCTCCTGATACCACTGTGAGTCAACATGTCACCAAGTGACTGAGGGGTTTCCTCAAGGATTGGTGACTCAGCACTGGTCTCTGTTGCTGGTAGGATGAACATTCATCAGTGAGTGAAACTAGATCAGCCTTGCTAAGTGGGCACCGATCCCACTGGGTCAACTGCAATCCTGCTAAATGGCTATTCATCCCAGACACTGATGTCATTTTGTCAACTTGGTTGTTTGGGGCCCCTTCCATCATGGATTCCTTACGGTATGGATCAACATGTAGTACCAAGATCTTCCCTCTTTGTGCCTGTCCACATACCTTTATCTCAGATCTGCTGCTGCCCAATCTTCCAGTCTATTTCTTTTCAGGCACCAAGCCAACTGGTCATGCCAGTTGCCACTGCCCAAGTGTATTCTAATCTTGGGCCACCTTCCACATGAAGAGATGGCAAGGTGTACTGCCTGAAACTCTGTGCTTTTTAGAGGATTTTCGCTCATCTCTAACTTTCAAGGCCACCCCTTTGTGGGCTGTAGTATAACCATCATGTATTTTTGTTTTTTACCATGTACAGGCCTTACCCACCCATGAGTCAAATTCAGGCATTTTTCTCTTCCATCAGTTGGCCATAGAGAATCCTTGGCAACAGGTGTGAACTGAGGGGGAGGTACTGGTGCAACAGTGGTGGGTGACACGGGAGTCCGGCCTGCCTGCTTGTGTAGCATTCTGTGCCCTCTGGCCATATTTGTGTTTGATCCTAGATGTAGCTTCCATTTTACAATGGATTGCAACATGCCTCAACACAACCTTATGACTTGATGGGACAGATAGAACCCAGCTCATTATTGGTGGTTTTGGTTACATGGTTACCAAGCATCTCATCATCAGGTGCTCCATCTCTACCAGGGCACACTAGCACATCACAACTGTTTGTTGAAAGGTGTTTATTTCTCCACTATAGATGGCATGATCTTCATCTAGAATGGCATCTGCATTGTGACTTTCCCATTGGAACTTGGCATAAACTCACACGTCTCCCCACTACTGATGCATCTAATACAACAGGCATAGTTGGCTGTGTCAGCCTATTTCAGTCACTCACCTACATGGTTAATGGTAATTGGTTAAGAGCCTTGACAAAATGCAGTTAAAGAAGACCGGATGGTGCAGCTAACTCCCTAGAACACTGGACAGTCTGACAGAGGCGACATTTGAACACTATCTTGAAGAATGCTTGCTTCCTCCAGAGCCAGAAGCAGAGAAATCATAGCAGAAGGAAAGGTATGACTTTGGGTAACTTACACAGATTTCATTTTATCAATACACTTGATTGTTGAAGAACTCAACTACATTGTTCTTTCTCCAACTGCACCTCATCCTCTTCATCTTATGAAAACTCTCCCCAACCTGTTCTCGCCACAATGAACATTTTCCCGTGCAGGAGTCTGAGTTATCTCTAGAGTGAGTTCATTGTGCCCTCTCTATATTCCAGAACATTGAAGGACACCCAAGGCTAATCCAATCTTAATGACCCATAAGCTCTGCTTTATGGCTAAACTTTGTTTCCAGTCTGTGTGTTTCTTAACCTCACCCCCCAAAATGCCTAAAACCCTTTAACTGATGTCTAAGGCTTACAATTTGAAGTGAAATGCTCTTTAGAGCTTTAAATAAGTTACACATACTGCTTTCCCTTTATTAGATAGTTTATTATTCTCCAAGGATTGCACTCAGGATAGGATTACTTTTTTTTCCCAGACAGAAAAACATTTGTTGCATACTTTCTGCTGGATTAACACTTGAGATTGTCAAAAGCTACCTTCATCACTGACAGCTCCCTCCCTCTCTGAGGTCTTCCCTAATCTACAGAGGTAGCACTACCAGCTGGTACTGACAGATGCCAGACTTGAGGTGTTAGGTGATATATGAAAACATGAAAGGCAAAATTAAAATGGGCTCATGAAACTTATTTCCTAACCTTTTAAGCACTCACTGTTTTGTTTAAAACATTCTTGTAACTGAATTGAATGCACTGGAAAGTTTTTAGTAATACTACTGCTTTTTCAACTACTAATTCATCTATGAATGGTTATATCAAAAGACAATACTGTGTATGACTAGAGAAAATATGGACGTGATTCATCACATATATATTTGTAAAGTTTTGCTTGTTTTTTTTACCTTTGACTTTCAGAAGTAAACTAGAGATATGCAAAGAACACAGTATCCACATTATAATGTTACTCACAGAAATGGCTGAAAAGAGCAGGGCCACAGTCAAGTCAGTAGTACTTTAATAAAATGAACAGAACCCATTATAACAACAGCTCTTTATTACATGGATTCAAATACACAGACCAATCCTGTTCTCTGAAATTTAACAGCTGTGTTCAATTAAAACCTGTTAGCACATTCCTCAACACTAATTCTAAGGGGCTTCCTTTGAAATCCCTTTCAAAGCCTTTGTGCAAAGAGGTTAAGCACCAGTAGTAAAGACTGTTGCTAGCAGTTTTACTTCACCATCATCATCAACGACAACAAACATGCAGTTTTTCCCTTCTATGTACATGGCATTGTAAAATGGGTGCTACACTCTGCTTATGGTACAAAGTTTATAAATACAGTATACCAATACAAAGTTGAAGCCATTAAAAACATCTCAGTAACAACTACTAGGAGATAATTCAATCTGGAGTGTTGATGGAATCTATGAAGAGATTTAAAACCAACACACAAACTCAAATATTGTAATAAATGTTTTACTTGGGAAAAGGCTGAAAGGGAAACTTCTTAGGTGCTACTGAGGGGTTTTCTCAGTTGTCCCAGGTTTACTTTCTTTCTGCGATTATCTTTAAATACTGCAAAGCATTGTGAGCCGCATCACTCTGCGCGCTGCTGCAGGAGATGCCCGAGCCATGGCAGACCGTGATGGGGCTGGTGGACAGCTCCGCGAGACACTGGTACTGTCCGCTGGCGCTCAGCTCTTCTGCAATGACACATTCAAACGCGGCGATTAATGCCACGTGCAGAGAAAGCAGAGTTTCTGTGAAAACAATTTTTGTGACTGTCCCTCTCCCCAAGCACCTTTTTATTTGCTACTCCACTTGTCAGGTGCTATTCTCTATTCATAAGAACCATTTAGTTCTTAAAATTAGTAAGAAGCGTTTCAAAGTCATCATTAATACATTATCTAAAAATCATCTCAGGTTTCCCTTTCCCAAATTCATAAACAATTTTGAATGCATGGTCTCTTAATCAACCACCTTTCCTGATCATCTTTCTACATTAATCCTCAGGTTCTACATCATTCCCAGTATATTAAGACATTGCACCTGACTCATTATTAATCCCAAAGTAGAGAAAATCAGAAGTTCCTTCAGCCCCTAAATATCCTATTTTCTCAGTAGTAGTAGCTCTGATGAGCTAGGTTCCCCCTGAATCACTGAGTCTGGACTAAGGGATATCAAATTCCTCACATATGATACTGATGTTAAATCAAGATACCCCACACACACATGAACACACAAATTAGCCACTTATCCACTGCATTAAAAGAAAATCTACACTGACTTGCTTTCAATCTGTCCACATTTGTCTATCTGAATGATCAGGGGCTAGAAAAAATATAGAAGTTGATAGCTGGGATGAAATAAAGCTGTAAATTGTCCCCATTTATCTCCCAGAACTGGAACACAGTGATAAAGTGGAGAGATGTCTGGCCTGGACCCCACAAACTTGGTATTTGTTCTAGAAATGTGGGTACCTTTTTATTTGTCAAGCTGTCCATCAGGGCTAGTTTAACAGATATTATACCGGCAGGGACTCTTCTTCTAACCTGGCTCTACTGACCAGCTATGCCATCTCAGGCAAGTTTCTCAACCTTTCTTTGTCTTACTTTCTTCACTTATACTTAAGATAATAGAAATTTCAGATGTTCAAGCTGGATTTAGAAAAGACAGAGGAACTAGAGATCAAATTGCTGATATTTGTTGGATCACTGAGAAAGCAAGAGAGTTCCAGAAAAACATCTACTTCTGCTTTATTGACTATGCCAAAGTCTTTGACTGTGTGGATCACAACAGAATGTGGAAAATTCCTGGAGAGATAGGAATACAAGACCACCTGACCTGCCTCCTGAGAAATCTGTATGCAAGTCAAGAAGCAACTGTTAGAACTGGACATGGAACTACAGACTGCCTCCAAATCAAGAAGGGAGTACGTCAAGGCTGTATATTGTCACCCTGCTTATTTAACTTATATGCAGAGTACACCTTGAGAAATGCCAGACGGGATGAAGCACAAGCTGGAATCAAGATTGCCAGGAGAAATATCAATAACCTCAGACATGCAGATGACACCAGCCTTATGGCAGAAAGTGAAGAGGAACTAAAGAGCCTCTTGTTGCAAGTGAAAGAGGAGAGTGAAAAAGTTGGCTTAAAGCTCAACATTCAGAAAACTAAGATCATGGCATCTGGTCCCATCACTTCATGGCAAATAGATGGGGAAACAATGGAAACAGTGACAGACTTTACTTTTTGGGGGCCCAAAATCACTGCAGATGATGACTGCGGCCATGAAATGAAAGACACTTGCTCCTTGGAAAAAAAGCTATGACCAACCTAGACAGCACAGTAAAAAGCAGAGACATTACTTTGCCAACAATGGTCTGTCTAGTCAAAGCTATGGTTTTCCCAGTAGTCATGTATGGATATCAGAGTTGGACTATAAAGAAAGCTGAAGGCGGAAGAACTGATACTTTTGAACTGTGGTGCTGTAGAAGACTCTTGACAGTCCCTTGGACTGCAAGGAGATCCAACCAATCAGTCCTAGAGGAAATCAGTCCTGAATACTCATTGGAAAGACTGATGCTGAAGCTGAAACTCCAATACTTTGAAACCTGATGCGAAGACCTGACTCATTTGAAAAGACCCTGATTCTGGGCAAGATTGAAGGCAGGAGGAGAAGCAGATGACAGAGGATGAGATGGTTGGATGGCATCACCAATTCAATAGACATGAGTTTGAGCAAGCTCTGGGAGGGGGTGATGGACAGGGAAGCCTGGTGTGCTGCAGTTCATGGGGTCACCAAGAATCGGACATGACTGAGTGACTGAAGATAATAGAATGTACTTCATAGGATTAGTTTGAGGATTCTGTGACTTGAAATATGTAATGTCCCTAGAACAGTGCCTGGCACACAGTAACTCTGTAAATCTTTGCTATTGTTTTTATTACAACTGTACAGATGTTATCTCTTTTTATTATTTATAAGAATGAGATACATCAGTGATATATATTACCACTCTGCTAATTGTATATAGTTAGAATCCTCTATTATAATAGACATTTTGTTTATCAAACATATTTTGAAAAGAAACAGGTTTTGGGTCAAGCCAAAGGAAAAAAAAAATCATACCTATATCCAAATATGTTATATTAAAACCTTGTTCCTTCGCAATTTCACTAAGCAGCTGGATGTAATCTGTATTTGGAATGCTGAGGAGGCTTCTTTTCAGTAAGTTGATCTTTTCACCAGGAGAATTCCTTAAGGAATGCCAAGTACAACCTAAAGAATGCCCTACCATATTTGTCTGAAAAACAGATTAACATTAAGACTCTTGGGTTGGGCTCCAACGCTACTATGAATATTAGTTCAGCAATTTAAATTTCCAATTTAAACTAGACAGCACTAATAAGCTCACACATTTATCAAATAACACAATATTAAAAAAGAATGTGCAATGAAATACTGAAGGATTTCAAAATACTTTTGTATAGCATAACGGTCTTGTTAATATGTATAACATATTTAAAAGCATGATAAGTAAATCTGCAAATACAGCTGACCCTTGAACAACGTCACATACTATCTTCCTATATGGACTGGCATCTATACATATCCTTTGTCTATTCCAATACAAATTTCAGTGTTATCAAGCTTCATAAATTTTGTTATTCAAAATACACAGATAACAAAAAATCAAGTAATACAGAATTATAAAAGCAACAGTCCCCATACCTACCTTCAATCCCCTTTCCAGAAGCAATAATTTTCAACTTTTTATTTTTAATTACTCTGGTGGTGACCTTTGTCACAGAAATGAGAAAGCTATTGATCTTGTGTATTGGTTTTTGATCAGTTACCTTGATGAATTCTCTTATTATTTCTAGTAGTTTTTCTCTAGGGCTTTATAGGGATACAATTATATTATTTGTAGTTAACGATCATTTTTATCTCCTCTTATTTCCAACCTCTTATTGTTTTCTCTTCTCTGGTTACGTTGGTTGATACTTCTAGAACAAGGTTTAAAAAAATGGTATCAGTGGGCATCCTTGCCTTATTTCTGAAATTAATGGGAATGGATATAACATATAAACATGTACCCAAGATTTTGATTTTTATTTCTTGAGATATATATTTAATTTTTAAAAAATCTCTTAAAAAATATTTATTTGTCTGTGCCAGGTCCTCGTTGCAGCACCTAGGATCCTCAATTTTGTGGTGGCATGCAGGATCTTAGTTGCGACATACGAGACCTAGTTCCCTGACCAGGGATCGAACACCTGAGGTACATATTTTAAAGCACAATAGGGATATTTTAGAAGCATTTATCAGTAGTGACTACCCAATATTTTTTTGGCATCTATTGAGAGGACTATGTTTTCCTTCTTTGACCCATTAATGTAATTAATTATAGCAATAGATTTACCAATGTTGAAACACCCTTGTGGTCCTAAACAAATTTATATAGAAATTTCTCTCACATTATATATATTGCCTGGAAAAGTTTAAACAGCACTGAAGATTATCTCTTCCTTGAAGATTTAACAGAACTCACCTGCAACCTAACTGTTTTGTGACTGTGGTGTCATCTCTGATCCAGTCTTAAAAGAAATGAATGCAATGTTTTATATTCTTCTATGAAAAAAGTGAAACCAAAATTATATTACTTACCTAGATATAGTCGTTGGTTCCTACAGAACAAGCCCTTTTTTTAAAATCATAAGCTTAGGACACTCCTATAGTCTTCACTTCTCATTTCATACCTAACATCCTATTCTCAGATAATGGACCATCATACATACCTACCTACATTTTGTGTAACCCAATCTCTTATGCTCTCTATCTGAATGCCCAGTTGCCTACTCAATATCTCCACTTAGCTACTCCACAAACACTTCAAATTCAATATATCCTACATTTAACTTATTATATGCTCCCCCTTAAACCCTACTCACCTTCTGTGTTCCCCATATTACTGAACGGCACCACCATCTAGGTAGCTGCCAAGCTAAAACTGTTTACTTCTTCCTTTTTCCCTACTCTCTACATCCAGTTATTATACCCCCATTCACTTCAGTTTTTAAGTAAGTTTTAAATTGACCATTTCAATCGCTACTACCTTTGTCTAGGTCACTACCATGTCTCATCTGCTTTTCTGTAACAGCATTATAGCAGGTCTCTATGACTCTAATGTTCATTCATCCACCATAATGCAGCCAGTCATTCCCTTCTAATGTATAAATTAGATTCTGTCCTTCCTATATTAAATTTATTTAATGACTTTATGCTACCCTCAGGATAAAGTTCAATCTCCTGAACACTGCAAGATTCAATCCCTCTTTACCTTTCCTGCTTCATTGTTTGAGACTCCCTCCCTCCAAATTCAATGCTCCAGCCATCCAAAATTACTCTGGATCACATCAAGTGTTTCACTCCTGGTCTTTGTACATGGTCTTTCTTCTCTCTGGAATTCTTTTTACTGCTGTCATGCTATAAGTCTCAGCTCAGATATTACTTCCTCTAAGTCTTCCTGAAACCTTATCTTGGTTGGATCCTTCTTCTATGTTCCCAAGAAGCCCTTGTAAGGCCTTGTCTGTAGGGTTCTTTTCTCTCTCAGTAGGCTGGCTGAAAACTCCTTAGGGCCAGAGACTATCTTATTCACTATATACCAGTATCTGGCATAAATCTGGGCACATATTATGACTTTCCTAAATGTTTGCTGAGTGGATAAATGAATGGATATCAAGAGATGGGAGTGAAATGTCAATCTGAAGGCAAAAACAGCACTACTGACCTACCATCTTTAAAAACCATCATATTATTCTGAATTTGACTGTGCTTCCCAAACTCTCTTTCCTGGCCACCCCTGTGACTGGCTCACATATAGCAAGCAGCTAAAAACTGGGGTAGTGTATTACTCAACAGTTGAGAGATTTTTGAAAAACTGCGACTCTGTAGTATACTATACAAAATGAAATCTACAGAAGTTTCCCACAGCAACACAAGTTTAATCACATTAACATCACAGATCCCTGATCATTACTCACCAAAGAAATGTGGTTCTCTGGAGAAATATTACTGAATTTGGCAAGAAATTTCTCAGCAGCATTTCTCTTGGCTTGTTTCTTTGATGCCCCCTTTCCTAAATAAAGAAAAAAAAGAAAGTACTAGGTTAGAAAATAAATTAGTGTCCACAGAGAATGACAAATGTTTAAAGTACTATGTTTGACCAGAGAACAATCTCATGGTTTTTATGTACTTTTACTGACCTGATATCTTTACTTGTTCAGCTTCATGCAACTATTGTTACATTTTTGAAGGCATTTCTTTAGCAGTTTATCTTCAATAGTTAAACTTTCTGTTTTTTTTCAACAGATTTATCTCCCTATGTCTAGCTTTAATGAACCGTATTTGGTTTAATTCTGATGAAATATTCAAATTTACCAAGGTAGATTTGAATTACATCTCCCATCTTTCAATGTCTGCTTCTGGCTCATCATCTCCTGCACACAGATAACTATGTGGAATTTCTTTAACATGAATAAGAAGGGCATAGGAGAGGCTGGAGTTGAAAGATACCAAAAATATAACCTATTTCCATGTTTAGAGATTTAAAAACTCAGGCCTAGGCATGGAGATTAAGCAATTTGCCTAACCTTGCAAATCAAGGACTGCATCAAGAACAGAGGTGAGGTTTCTGCTTCTGGCTGAGGGCTTCCTGCACTGACCCACACTACCTCTTGGGGCAAACAGCTGCTTAGTACGTAGGACTAGTATCTAGCCAACTTAAAATTTCATTTCAAGCCACTTTTAAAAATGATAAAAAATGCTCGAGAAATTAAAATAGAAATCCTTAGGAGTACTTTATTAACTGACTTTTTTCCCTCATAATCTGTGGCCTTTACAACATTGAAGTTGCTATAATACAAAAGGTTAAATTCTACTTCATTTTTATTTCACTATCAGCCTCTTTGGAGAAGGAAATGGCAACCCACTCCAGTATTCTTGCCTAGAGAATTCCATGGACAGAGAAGCCTGGGGGGGTTGCACCGGTCGGACATGACTGAAGCGACTTAGCATGCATGCATACACTGGAGAAGGAAATGGCAACCCACTGCAGTGTTCTTGCCTGGAGAATCCCAGGGACAGAGGAGTCTGGTGGGCTGTCATCTATGGGGTCATACAGAGTCAGATACGACTGAAGCCACTTAGAAGCAGCCACAGCCTCTTATCAATTATCTTGTTTTTAAATGTAATCGTCTCCTAGTCCTTCTGTCTTCTAGAACAGATACTGAAGCTCCAAGAGATTTACTACTGCCTTTTTCTCCAAAATGATGTTTAAGTCCCTATTATATCAATGAAGACTGTTTAAAGAGTCAATTATTTATTTGTATTTCCATTACCAACCCATGATTTTTTTAAAAAATTCAAATTAAGAATTATAAGTATTCTTAAGCCAACTATTTATACTTATTAATAAATTCAACAGCAGAAAGTTAGAGACAGTAGACTAGGAGTGTGTCAGTTTTGTTTCCCCCAAAGAAGTATTTGAGACGAAATCACAGCAGAAATTTTTTCATCCTCTCAAAATATTTCGAAGGTCTTCAACTGTATCAGCGTAGAAAGAAACAAATACCAGTTTCCATGAATGACTCAAGCCTGCAAATTGTGGTATATTCCCTCTTATGAGCAGGTCCTCCCTCCTGGGAAAGGGTATATTCAGGAAGTCTCCAGCCATGATGAATAGCCAATTCCTAGAAAATCGAGATGAGCCTTTAGTAGTAATTTTTACTACGCAATGGCTCAATCACATTGATGATATTTCTCTCATGGTTTTGATCCCATTTCTATTTATATGTTTGCAGAGAATAATGATATTCTGCAGTATTTATTAAAAAAAAGAGAAGGTCCTCTGTTCCCAACAGATAGTCCTCATTTTACATTTTATAAGCCCACGACCCCAGAGCTGAAGCAGTTTCCTGCTGTGAATGGTGCTCTCCCGTTACGCTACAGTGAGCTGGTTATCAGAGGTCAGAAGGATGCGCCACTCTCGCCCTCTCGGGGAACACGGGAGAGGACATCACAGGCCTCCCGGCCCTCAGCCCCTAGTCTCTTCCTAACTGACCTTCTACACCCACGGCTGCCTGCCTGACTGCACTCAGCCAAGAGCAGCTGAGGAGCAGACAGCAAACACACACACTGGATGAGGCTGAGGAAAGACGGGAAGCAAACTGCAGAAAAACTCATAGAGCAGGGGAGAGACCAGACGACTGGCTGGATACCAGGGAGGGGGGCTGTCCAACAGAGCACATGGATAATCTGCGAGAAGCACGTTCCCACACAGAAACTCAAGGCTGAATATATTTTTTGGTAGAATAAGCAAGTAAGCAGACGACTTCCCTTGTCCTGTGTTAGATAAATCAATCTGGGTTCTTTATAGACTTCTGTCTCAACAGAAGTAGAAAGAGATTTGTCACAAGAGTGGCAAGAAACATTCTTAAAATATAAAACACTCTACCCATGTGCACTGAGGTCCTGTTGATCTCAAATGAGAATTCCACAAACCAAAGGCAGATACTGTATATGGAAGAAAATCCAAAATGTAAATAAATATGAAAAGAACTTCAAGTTAGCACTTTAATAACTAATGATCGTTAACTTGGAACACAAAATGTTGTACCACACAATCTTTAAGATATTAATTCCTTCTCTTAGCCCTTATGATATCAACATTTATGACATTTTTTTCCAGGAGACAAAAAGTTAAGTATGGTAAAACTGTGCCACTTACCTGTAATGAGCCAATAGGATTAAGCTGGTTCTTTGGTTGCTTGGAAGGGTCAGGCATTAAGGGATCAGGAACTGCAAAGCTGAACATTTTTATAAAGGGTTATAAAACAAAATAATCTTCCCCAAATTATTAAATAAAGGATAAGCATTTTCTATTTAGCTCTCCATGCCTTCGCTCTTGCATTCCTTCTACATGGAATACCCTGTTCACCCACCTCTTCTATGGGAATCTGATCTATACCTCAGCCAAGGTACACACCTCAAATGCAACTTTCTCTCAGAAGCCTATTCTTTTACCCCAATGGGACATAATTTCTCCCTTCTTTGAACCACAGTAACATTTGGTTTGACACTTTCTTAGCAATTATTTTACCATTAAGTTGTACACTATTACAAATACATGCTATTTGTCTATCCATCACCATACCTCTCTCCTGTTCAGACTGTAAAATCCTTGGTGGTAGGGCCTATGTATTACTTACCTTCATAAGCCTTGCTGTGCTTTATGTAAAACAGATGCTCAATAAAAAGTGTATTTAAATAAACACACCATTGTTACAACCACACAAAAAGGGAAGAATAACAGGATGTTTAGCTCGGCAGTGTAAACCATACATATCATAAATGTAGCTTCTTCATCCAGACAATTAGAGAAGACTTGGCTTGATCTACTATCTGCTCTACGCTAGGATAATCTTCCTAAGATTTATGTATGTATTCTCAGTTGCTAAGTTGTGCCCAACTCTTTGCAATCCCATGGNCCATTACCAGCAAGGAGAAAATCTAAAACCCACCATGCCATCTGGCATGTCCAGAAAACGAGCATAAATCAGTTATAATGTATGACCCTAGAGAATCAAATATCATGTTATGAGATCCAAAGCTTTCACTGGTTGGTTCTAAACGACCTGAACAGTTTAGAACTACTAAGTACACAGGAAGAACACTGAAGCAGAATCTAAACATATCCCTAAACAGAAAGTTTTTCTAGGGCTGGGAAACAAAAAGCACCCATCCTAACTTCTCATGGGCCTTTGCTGTCAGCTATAAGCAGCTATACCAGATTGCACTCCCAAGTATACTTGAATGCATGTAAAGGGGAGAATTTGAAGGCAAAACATGCTCCTCTTGGATGTGCCCATTAAAAACCAAAAGACACCACTTTATGATACAAGAGATGCTCCAGGACCAGTGCTCCTTCCAAAAACAACTAATGTGATAACACATTTATTTTGGAAAGATATGTCAAGAATAAACATCCCATTTAGCATCCTCTTATAGTTGGTATACGTTCTCTAGTAGAAGGAAATCTCTTTGTCTCCTTACAAATTCAAATTTCTAAAAGAGAACTTTTAGCTGATATTTTTCTGTCTCACACTTTGTTTCCTTCAGTGAGGAACAAAACTCTTAATACAGTAAGATATTTGTCAGAAGCACTCTGGTTTTCTACTCCTGTACCTCATCTGGAAAAAAGAAAAAAACCTAGTTTATGAGAGCCTTCATCTAAAATGTTGCTGTTTAGTTGCTAAATCATGTCTGACTCTTGCAATCCCCTGGACTGTAGCCCACCAGGTTCCTGTGTCCATGGGATTTCCCAGGCAAGAATGCTGGAGTGCGGTGCCACTTCCTTCTCTGTCATTTAAAAAAAGCTGAATTTAATTTCTTACGGATAAAGTGTCTTTAGGGGATGACAGGTCTTCACAAGGAGACAGAATTTTATTAATAGAGCTAGACACTATCAACTATTTACTTTGTTGCTTTTGTGAGCACGTTCAAACTTTTAATCTTACCTCAGCCATGATATTTTTGAGCTGCAGAATACAAAGAAATTTAGCTCACCAAATACTTGCATTGGCTTTCAAAATGTTTATGGCAGCCTCTGCAGCTCTATGTTTCGCCAGCTTCTTACTTGTACCTTCACCTGAATTAAGGTTAAAAAAAAACAACAAAAAGAACTCTCTATATGCTGAAAACGTATGAGGCTTGCACAGAGGTTTGCATAGTACAAAACAAAGTCACTACATGTATTATATATACACACTAGGTATACACACTAGGTAATAAAAACATACACTGCATACAGTTATACATTGAAATAAAATACCATAAAAATTAATTTATTAAAAATCCCTTTGATTTTAAAAGTGCTAAGTATTTAATTCTAAGTATAATTGTATAAAAATCTTTACTGTCTATTTTTTACATGTTTATTACATAAAATGATAATACAGTAGACTGTCTCTATGTGTGCTAAAGGCAACTTACTTCCATTATTCCTAGAGAGCAAATTCTTGTATAGCAAGAAATTTTCTTTAAAGGAGTCACTTACAGCAACATTATTGAACAGAAAAACGTGCACATTTTCCTCTAACAGGCCCTCCTATACTGGATGAAACCCCTCTGCTTGGCTGAGCAGTCACTGGCTACCTGTTGGATACAGCGGAGGAAGGTCTGTATAGGGAATGTGACAGACTACATTGTTATGTGTCTTTCATACAATCTGTATCCCTTACATGGGTAGCTAAGGGGGTAGAAGAGACCAGGCCTGACTATTAATCACTGAGACTGATGCCTAATATCAGTAAGCAACCACACAAATAAATTATAAATTCAGTCTTTTTCCTTCTGAGTTCAAACTAGGTGTTGACAACCTGTCCAAAGCTGTGTCAGAATGGTAATATCCATTCCTCTGATGTAGAGGAAAGAAAGGGCACATGGAATAAATGTCAGGTGTGGTTCTCAAGCATCAGAGAACACAGAAGCCACACTCATTTATCCATTCACATAGGTATTATGGATACTGTCCTCCTTTGAAAAATGTGGGAATTAGGAGCACTGACACTCTGCACTGAAATATGTGGGAATTAGGGGCACTGACCCTCTGCACTGAAAATTCACGCATAATTTACAGCCAGCCCTCCATACCTGTGGTTCCTCCATTTCTAGCTTCCTCGGTAACTGCAGATTCAACAAACTGTGGATTGTGTGGTCTTGTAGTACCGACTACTGAAAAAGATTGACATCTAAGTGGACCTGGGTAATTCAAACCATGTTGTTCAAGAGATAACTGTAGTAGAGACCAAAGCAGAGTCCCTGTCCTTAAAAGAGCGTACAGCCTAATGTGTGAGATTTTGTCTATAAAAAAGACGTCTGAAATATGAAGCATCACAGTGGGCCTAAGTGCAGGCTGGAGGGTAGCATACAGAAGGGGTAGCTCCCCTACTCTTAGAAAGGACTCAGAAAGGTTTCATGAAGGAGGAGATAACTAAATAGGGATCTGAAAGATCAGTAAGTCAGCGAGGTCAACAGCGCTGGGGGAATAGAAAGAGCACTGTAGGCAGAGAAGGAGCAACTGTGAAGGCTCAGAGGCAAGACACAGCGCGGTGTTCTCACGCCCCAAGTTGCTGGGACAGTACGAGCTTGAAGGAGGGGACTTCGAGATAAAAGGTCAGGGAGTTGAAGGGCAGAAGGAGAGTTCAAAAAATAGTCTCCTCAATTGTGTTTCTCTAACTTTAGGACTTGCCTGGGCATTTTGTTAGAACACATACTAAGAGCAGGTGTGGGCTGGGACCTGATAGTCTGCACTTCTTTCAAGTGCCTGGGTGATAGCAAGGCTGCTGTTGACCACACTTTGCAAAGTAAGGTTGTCAGTCATGTTAAGAAATTTGTATTCATCCAGAAGGTGATGGGAAAACCACTGAATGGATTTTAAGAGTTTGAATACTTCAAATGAACAGATTTGAATGCCAGAAAAAATACTTTGGATTTTGTGTGGAAAACGGATACCACAAGACAGAAGCTAAAAGAGCAGCTACAAGACTGCAGCTCTATTCCAAGTGGCTCAGACAATAGCAACAGGAAGATGACAGAAGCAGGCAAATTCAAGAGATACTTAGGAAGTAGGATTTGGTGGCATAACGGACAACACAAAGAGGGAGGAGAAGGAATCAAGAAGGTGAAACTCAAATCTCTATTGTGAGCAAATCAATGATGGTGATTGTGAGCAAATCAATGATGGTGGTGCCTATACTGAACTGGGGAATGCAGGGGAAATGGATTTGAGAGAGAAGATGGATTCAGTCTGGGACACTGAGAGATGGAGGTGTCTCTTTGGGTCATCCAAGCAAAAATGCCTAGCAAACTCAGGCTGATGCATTGTTTTATAACTGTGTGTGGGCTAAAGACAGAGATTTCAGAATTATTAGCCGTTAGATAGTATCTGAAACCATGGAGGTAGATAAGCTTGCATAGAAGACAGGACAGTGTGAGAAGAGTAGAGGGGCTAAGCCGTTGCCACAGGTTGTTAATCTCTCACATAAAACACACTAAGGCGGGAAAAATGCTACTTTTTCTCGAATTTTCACTTAATACTTAAAGACAGACCAGCTAAAGCAGTAGTGCAATGTTGAGCCTGTCATTCACATGAGAAATTTATAGCTAGAATCTAACTACAATCCACCTGCCCTACATAGACAAAAAAGCTTCAAAATTTTCTTAAAAGGACTTCAATGAAAATAGCGGACTCCAGATTTTCGTGGACACAAATGATGCCTTCAGGCTACCAGATGGTGGAACTTCAGGCTTCTTACTGAATTTCTTTTTTGGCATTCTTCCAAATTAAATTTAGTATTCAATAGTTCATGTTTGCAGTTAAACAGATACATAAGAAGTAAAATGTCTACATTTACAAATGAGCTACTTCAGTTATCATTTGCTGAAGCTCAAGGACCATAACCTGAATTTTGAAACTTCACTGCCATGTGACCTTGGGCATGTTTCATATAATCTCTCTGGACCTAATTCCTCATATAAAATATAGGCGATAACATCTTATTAAAATATCTGTACAGTGTCAGGAACTAGAAGCTACTATGCAATACAGTGTAGTTGAGCCTTCCACCTTCCTCATTTTGCTTGGATACAGAACCAAGTGTGGTACAATGGACCCAGAGTGCCAAACGAGTCCGTACAAAGAGGGGAGCAGGTCAGAAAATTCTGGGGTCATGCCTCCTGGCATCTGCTGTAACCTATGGAATTTGACAGCACCTTCTGATTCAGCTATGGCTGCTCCAAGAACCTTTCCTGCTTCTCCCTAATTCTTGGAAGAACCTTAGGAGGATCTTAGGGTATGTTTCTGAGCTTCTCTTGATATCTGGGGAAGAGAAAATTAGGGAGAGAATCAGAAAGTTGCAAAGTCCAAATGACCTGAGAAAGGCATCAGTCTCTTCAGACTGCTCCTCACTGACGTCTCTGGCAAAAAGGGCACTTTTTCCGAACTGAGAAGCAATACGCAAGTCTGGACCACCAGCCCACATGGTCATGGGGTTAATACAGACCTGTGCAGGTTATGTCACCAACGGTTACTCTGAAGGTGAAAGTGGGCACGTGTATTTGCACATCGGATCTTTCACATTCATAAACCGGGATGTTCTTGGTCTTCATGCCGTATTCGTGTAATACCTGAATTGGTGTTTTCCCTGGCTTAGCTGTAATCATCTTCCCCAAACTGCAAAAACCAGAAAAAGCTGTGCGTTGCATGTCAAAGCGGGGAGGGAAACAGAAGCAATCAGAGACTAGACTTAATAGCCATCACCGGAGACATGTCCTCGCGCTCCATCGGCGGAGCCGCGGCGCGATGCCTGCTCTGAGACATGGCGAGAAGGGACGGCTTTGCGGGAGGAAGAGCGGTGCGGAGCTACGTCCTCGCTTCCCCAGTGGGCTGGTGCCCGAGAGGAGGGATCGAACGCCGACGCCGCTACCTCCTCCCCTCTCCTCACGGCGTGAGTTCCTCCCGGGGACGGGCGGGGCCGGAGGTGGAGCCTCGGTGCGGCCGCGCAGGTCCCGCTCCCGGCCACGCCCCCTGCTGTCCCTGCAAGGCCGCGCTCCTTGGCGGCCCCGCCCACTGGCTGGCCGGGCCCCTCGGCGCCCGGTCCCGCCCTCTCTCCTAACCCGGGTTTCCTCAGCTGCAGCCGGTGCCCAGCCTTCGGCCCACCGACTCGAGGAGACCGCAGTTCTGTGTCCTTAAAAGGAGGCCATTCCCTGCCCAAAAAGAGGCTTGTCGCCGGGCAGGCAAGCTTCAGAGTCTGTGAGGCCTGAAGCTCAACCTTTTTTTTTTTTTTGCCAGGTTACGGGGACGGGGAAGAGGAGGGGTACGTCACGTTAAGAAAATAATTTCGAAATTCCAAATGCAGAATTGCTGGAGAATGGCCTCCCCGGGCCTGGGCCCGAAGCCTAAGACTCGCAGTATATCCGCTCCTGAGGACTCGGGTGGGTTCTCCTGTCCTGGAGCCCAGCGTTTAGATGCTCCCGGAGACCCGCGCCTCTCACCCAGGGTGGGCTTCATTGTCTTCCAGGCTTTTGTCGCCTGGTGAGTGCTGGGCCAGCGGATCCCAGCAAGGCACGTTGGGAGTAAACGAAGGCTTTTCTATGGAACCGCTTCTAATTAATGCTGTTTCTGAACACCTATGTTGGTTGTGATGGCATTTGCCTGGGATGTACCACCTTTGTTGGGGATCAGACAGCGACATTAAAGTGTCCTATGGCTTCCAGGGGTTTTCCTTGCCACATGGAGAAATGACTCCTTGTGTCTTCTCGTTTCTGGAGATTGCCTTGCACGATTCTATTCACACGAAGTGACATTATTAGAAACTTTTTGTTACTCGAGCCCTGGATACTAGAGATCAAATGAAAAAAATTATCCGGAATCTAATCAAGCTGATTGAGGCTTGAATTAAGCCTGTTTTTATCCTCCTCCATCTCCCCCTTGTATAGATGTTAGTATATCAATTGCTTTTCATTGATATACTTTAATGAATATCTTACTTTAAGTACCACCTAGCCACTATTTCAGAATGTTAACATCCACGTAGCTATGGCAGTACATTATTTCAGCACTCAGATTTGCTTATAAAATTTATTTTTAGCCATAAAATTCCTTAAAAACAAGCCTAAACTTTATATTGCTCTCATTAAATGTTGAGTAACTGGGATAATAATGGTGAAACAAAAAGAAAATAAATGCAGCAGGACTCTATTTCAAAGAGATATTATGTAAGTAGCTTAAGATAAGAAACCCCTAAGTCAGAGTTGATGCAGTTACATGTAAATATGTTTCATTTAGTATTTTATAAAGTTCTGCTTGCAATTGTTTCCTTATATTCTGTGAATTTATTTTTATATTAATCACTTGGTTTTGTAAACATACAAGGAAAATGAATGAAATGTTCAAAGAATAAACTGGACTATAACAGAGAAACAATACTTTCCTGTTGCCAATATTGGCATGATGGATTTGTGAAAGACTTCCCTTTGGACTAGGTCCACTGTAGATGGTGTCCAGGGCTAATGTTAGTGGCTAAATTGTGTTGTTTCCCAAAGGGCTATTTGCTTCCTTCAAACCTGGCAAACCACTATCCACTGTGGCCCTCCCCAAGGATATTGGTGATGTTTGAAGATGACTAGTTTTCTGTGGATGTTTTAGGATTATAGACTGCATTCCAAACTGACTTGCTTCTACTGTATCATTCTACACTGTTGATCTATAATTCATTGCCTGAGCATACCAGGGAGGCAGTGTTGTGAATTGTATCGTGGTAAGCTACTTGCTGAGACCACGCTTTGTATTTTTTATGTGTACAATTATATTTAAAATCAAGCAAGGCTTAGTTTTAGGCCTGATTTTCTTTGAAAATATGGATTTGTTGTCTGAGGGTTGCAGTGGATGACATTTTGATTCGGTATTAATATGTTTGCTGCTGCTACCAAGAGCTTTGTCAAGCAAGTTGGAGATGGAGGGAGATTAGTTCCTGTTCCAAGCCTCAGTGAGGCTGACAAATACCAGCCTCTAAGTCTGGTGGTCAAAAAGAAGCGATGTTTTCTGTTTCCTAGATATAAATTTACCTCAACACCTTTTACACTGAAAGATATTCTCCTAGGAGACAGAGAAATTTCAGCTGGTAAGTTTCACTGTTTGTTTGGGAGTNAAAGAAGCGATGTTTTCTGTTTCCTAGATATAAATTTACCTCAACACCTTTTACACTGAAAGATATTCTCCTAGGAGACAGAGAAATTTCAGCTGGTAAGTTTCACTGTTTGTTTGGGAGTGATTACTCATGCATGTATATTATTTGTAATCTAAATGTAGGTTGTCTGTGCTACTTACATTGGTAATATTTACACATTTTCATTGATGAAAGCAACTTTTATTACTGTAACAGTAATAATGTTAACAATGCTTAATGTTTGTATAGTATCAAATCTCTTATTGATTGAATAATTTCAAATATATTTTATGTTTATTGTATAATTTAATTTTAGTTATTTTATAAGTTGTTTTAATCAGATCAGTTTAGAATATGGCATAATAATATTTCTTCATTTATAAAATGGGGCTGTTTTTCAGTCTTACCTATCTCACATAGTTAAATGAGATTAAATTAATTTGCATTTATTTTTTAATTCTCTTATTATGGTTGGTAAGCTGAAATGTATTAACCGGCTAGTTTAGAAAGCAAATTAACATTTTGTCAAACTTTTCTTATAAACACTTGTTTTTCTTTCTACTAGTCATTGGATCTTGATGCTTAAGTGTTCTGTTGGCTGAAAGAAAATTTGAGTTCGTTTAAAGTACTCTGGACATTTATTTCTCTTGTTAAATTGAATTGCTCTTTTTCATCTTGATTTGAGATGATACCATTCTCAACATTTGGGTAATCAAGTTTTAAATGATAAATTAATGTATTACTCTATATTTACATTAGATGAATTCAAGACATTTAAAATATTGATTTCTTTTTTTAAAGGTATTTCATCTTATCAGCTACTGAATTATGAAGATGAATCAGACGTTTCACTCTATGGAAGACGAGGCAACCATATTGTGAATGACGTTGGGATTAATGTTACTGGATCAGATTCCATTGCAGTA